AAACATGTAATAAAAATTATCAAATCAGGGCAGGCCACTTTCATTTTTGATTGCTGGGTCTTTTACCCAAGAACCGGACTGCAACTGCTCGCTGGGAGGATCTGGCCGGAGGGCGTAGCTTGCTCATGCCAGATTCTTGTGAGATGTAAAGAGGTATATCATTCTTTCCACTAACACAGTAGTTCTTAAACTGTGTTGGTGGGTGGTTGGCGGGTGTTCTGGTGAGGTTTGTTCCTTCTTTGCTATCAAACATCTAACGTCCTGATCTCTCCTTCTTTTATGTGTTTGTGACTCTCTAGTAACACCTCTAACCTTCGGCACTTCTATGACCTTATTGTGCTGCAAGTGCCGTAAAACTCTTAATGAAACTAAACTAAACTTTATTGAGGGTACAGACTATGCATGTTTCATTCGAGCATTCACTTAACTCTTTTACTGGATTGAACAAAATGATACACACGCGTGCGCTTCTGACAATTCGTGACTAAAAAAATCAAACATGTTTGATTCAGGCTGATTCGATCAAGATGTGTCAAAATTGCAGCATTAATTAAAAATGATTTGTCCTTCATCTAGGGAAACATGGCCGCTCTCACTTGTGTCAAACTCTATCAAACTCAAAACGATGATTTGTCGAAACTTTCTGCAAATGTGCACTGGCTCTTACCCACTTGCTGGCTCAAATTGAAGGGACCAGCAGAAAAAGACGTGACTCCCGCTGGTGCATGATCTGCGGTCGCATTATCTGGGTCTTTCTTTCGTTGACAAAATGTGTTTTTCTAGTCTCTCCTCTCGAGACGTTTAGCTGCCGGGCAGAGTTTGCAAATATTCTGCTCCGAATCCCTCACCAATGGAAGTTGTTCCTGTGCTAATAGGAGAGAACAAGGTCATGGGTGTGGGTGGTTGGCGGATGCTCTGGTGGGGTTTGCTTCTTCTTTCTTTTCAAACATCTATCGTCCTTATCTCCCCTTCTTCTTTTTTTATGTTTGTTACTGTCTCATAACACCTCTAATCTTCTGGCGCTCATGTTACCTTATGCGGTTGCGAGCGCCGTAAAACCTCTGCTAAAAAAAAAAGAAGTCGAGGGTTTGGGTGAGATGAAGGTGATGGTCAATAGTTAGCTTTTTTCCTCTTGTTTAAAAAAAATTTTAAAACCGGATTTGAATACCCAAAGCGATCCATGGATGCATGCAAGCATTCTACAGAATAACAATAGTACGCCCCCCC